GCACATTTTTAGAGCATCATTGTTCAATTAATACTGCATATGGTAAAAAAAAGGTAACAAAAATATTTCATCTGGAAGTATGATCAAAGGTCAGTTTCTTGCTGCTGAATATGGTGAGAGTATATAATACAGGACAAAAGTCAACTTTTTTTTCCAAAAATGTCCTTTCGTTTAATATTTTTAAAGTCTTTTATTGCAAAGACTATATAAAATGCCTGGGGAGGGGAAATATATAAATGTATGTCTCAAATCATCCTGAAATGCCACAAAGAGGGAGGGAAAAATAGAAAGTCATGTTTCAGGATTGTTCTTAGCTTTAGGAATGAAATGAGCATGGTGTAATATTGAATAGGGTTACTGAGTAAAAAAAATTATCTTAAAAGACAAACTCCTGAATTTCTTGACTTTTGGCTGTTAAAGTTATACCTTCTAGTAAAGAGTGGGAATATCTTATTATGACAGCAATAATAAGCCTGTATATTAGAAACATGAAAATGCATTGTTAACGTTTATTTTCAGCTACTCGTATTTCAATAAAAGAATATAGATCAGAATGACATCAGAAAACAACTTCTCTCCATGTAACATTTCTTATTCTATGCCACATTTCACATATACTCAGAGTGAATGACAAAGGTTATGGCTACCTGAAATTCCCAGTGATACTGCAGCAGAGACAGTACCAGTTCTGTGGTCTCCTTCCAAGCACAACAAAGATCTTGTGGGTTAAAGGCTGGCCTGGGATTCCAGATTTCTGCATTCAGTGCTTGGCTCTATCACCAAGGTGCTACAGGGAGCCAATATACTCCATGCTTTCCAACTGTGAGTTGATAAAATATGATAAATATTTCTCTGTGCCATTGTGGTGAGATATAAAAGGAAAAAAAAATCATCCATTGTGAAAATGAAGAGCAGAGAAACAGACTGACAAAATGTAACTGAACTTCAACTGAATCCAAAGGTTATCCTTATCTTTAAATAGACTCAAATACAGATAACCTGCAGCCTTCCTTTCAACTACAGGCACTGAAGCAGATCCCTTGGCATAAATTGCTACCAAGGTAAACACATTTGTTTACCTCACCCCACTGTTCACCCACACAGCTACAAACTGTGCAACTGAGAGCAGTGACAGCCTGTACCTCTTATGCCTGCATTTGCTGTAGTGTAGGTCTGAGGGTCCTTTCCTACACTGATGTAGGACAAAAGTTATAGAGCCTGGAAGGTTAGAGTAGCACAGTGGACCTGGCCTACCATCACCCTGCCAATTCATTTTTTTTTTAAGTAGGGAAAAGAATTTCTATAGACTTGGTGGATTCAGTAAACGCAGGCATCTCCTATAACTGGAATCAGTTTCTTCCAGGGAGGCACAAAACCATGTTTGAAATAAAGGAAAGACAACAGCTTTCCAGTTCCATTTTTTTCCCTGGAAGTCCACAGGGGGAGGCATATGGTTGCATCAAAAATCCTGAAATCAACAGTGCAAAATAAAGATGATTGATCCAGAAGTCTTCCTGTGGTGAAAATGAGTGAAGCAGAAAATTGCTAAAAACAAAAAACAAAAACCCAACCCAACAACTATAAATCTAGCTTTCTTCCTTCTGTTAAGGGATAAGCATCTTTTAATATACGAATGCACACATATATCAGTACATCCTGTCCCCCTTGGTGTCTGTCCCTAGTGAAGATGTACGTTTCTCAGAATTTTTCTTTTGTTCTCTGTGGTCTTACAACTTTTAATTTTGCACCTCTGAGAGTTTCATTTATTTTGCTTAAGTCACAATTCTGAATTCCTTGTAACAATAAGTGTCTTTTTACTATGTTATCAAAAATTTAATTGGAAAAGTTTTATGTTCTAACCACAGGCAAGATGCCAGACCTTTGTCTGCTGTGGACAAAAAAGCATGGGTCTAAACAGAGCTGCAGAAACATTTATTTTTTCCTTCTAGCAAAAGTATGAATTCAGCTGCATTTAAGGCAGTAAAACTGAGGTACCCCAGAAAATAGCCATGTTCAGTACAGGCACTACAATTTGCAATTACAGAATCTTTTTACTGTGCTCTTTTGAATCTCAGTTCTAGACATGTCTAATACTCAAACAAGGTCAGGGTGTCTAGAAACCATGTGTATTCAAACATTTTTTTTAGTGTTTCACCTGACAAAAACTCCTGCATCACAAGGAGAACAATGCTCTTTAATTTCCCACCTTAGCCTAAGGGCAGTTTGAAGCTGAAGCAGAGGAAAAAAAAAATTGGATTTTTTTTTTAAACTGAATAAGAATGCATTTAGTATGTTAAACATTTTCTAATTCAGCACTTCTCTTGAATACTTTGGTTGAAAATTTATCCTCCCCTCTGAACATCCTTGGGATGGGTGACTTGCAGTATGTGAGATATGCACTCCTCAACATATTTCAAAATAAAGACTATCTATCTCATTTATTGGCCCAAGCTTTCTGACATCCAAATCTGTATTGCACCTGAGTAGACATTTCCCTCCTGCAGACATCTGTCTGCATCTCTATTGCAGGAAAGCCGGTCGTGTAAATCAAGTGAATGAATGTCATGCATTGGACCTGCTCTTCAATTGTGCATCCTTCTGCATACAAAGAACAGAGAGACCATAGGGAGGAGACTGCCTGAAATGGTGTACATAACTACAACATACTGTTGGCATCAGGTTAAAGATGCCCTTCAAAAAATACCCAGGGAAGGGAGGGAGAGAGAAATGAAAGCCCTGCCATTGGCATCACCCAAGCCTTTCTTTCCCTTCAGTAGAGTTGAAATTGAAAACAATTGAAACATCCCTAACTCAGTTAAGTATGGAAATTTGCTCCTTATGTTGTGCTAGTATTTTCATTTCCAAAAAGGAGGAGATAATGCAGGTATAACTTAATTTTTGCTATTTTAAAGACTTTATCGTGATTGAAAAAATATCTGTGATAGAAATTGATGAGTGTGACACCTGATGTGACTCATGGTGAATTATGACTTTGGATATCTCTCTCTTGTGGCAGAGCTCCCTTGAGCTTCTTATACACTCAGAGTGAATGTAAATACGTAGGGACTATCTGTCAGATTTTGGTGATGGTTGCTGCTGGTTTTCACCCCTTTTTCACACATATGACCATAGAAAGACCATAGAAGTCTTTTAAAATGCACTATATAATAGTTACAGAAGAAAATACACATTTTTCCAAAGCAAATATGATCTTGAAGATTTACTGTTTTACTCCTGCAAGAATGACAATTTCAACAAGATACAGTAGGATTGTTCCCATCATGGCAAGTTTGTCTTAAAGGTAGCAGCATGCAATGGAGTGGTGGGGAGCATCTGGGCCATCTTCTATACGGTCACAGAAGTGACCAGGGCCACTTGAGGGACATGAGTCTTTACTGGCATTAATTTAACTGCTTATGAGACTCATCAAATACTTTTTTTCTCCTCATGTTATTCTTAACACTTAAAATCAGGATTTGCAGATGGATTTTTTTAACGCTTTTAAAATTGAGGCTCCTGACATGCCAACATAATAGAATGGCCCATGATAGCCTTTACCAAATATAGCAAAGAAAGTGGGACAGCCCCATGTCCCAAAATTTGTTCAAAGTAGCTCTAAAATGAGTTGTCTTCTGGATGAACACTTCTTGCAGATACTCTTTCTTTATGTTGCTGTGCAAATGACTTTTCAGATGGGGCTTGTCATAGCAACAAAAATATGTGACTGTGTTCCAGATATTGTCATTCTAGTTCTGCTGTAAGTGGGATGGCAGAGGAGACACCACATACAAATGGTTGAGCCCTGAAGCATGCTACTGTGCTTAAAATATTTCTCTTCAGAGGAATGAAAATATTGCTCTGCTGTGCAATCTATTTTAATACTAATTTAAATACGATTCTCCAAGACTAAGCCAAAAGTCACTAGGACCTTTCTTCTTCTTAATCTAGTAGTTTACTAGGGTTGTTTCCAGTGCTGATCTACATCCTCTATTTACTTTACACAAAAGTAAAATAAAAATGTAATCCATCTCTGAAAATATTTTTGATGTTACATCCACTTGGAGTTACAGCAAAGGAGGAAATATTTCCTTCATAATATCTGTTATTTTTTTCAAAGCTCTTCAGCTATAGTCTGTACTACAGAAGTGAAGACTTGTTTATCTGTATCACTCACATGCTCTGACATCTTAATTCTCAAGAATCTTTTACCAGAGAAGTAAAAGGAATTTAAACCACTGAAAAAAAGCCAAAATGTTTGTTGTGTAATCATGGAATCTGATTCCTATCAGAAACTAGGAAAATTGGAGGTGAGACTTCACATCAGTTCTTCAACCCCAAGTATATCAAAAGAAAGAGGGAAAATTTAGACTTTAATTTGGCATTAATACCCTTCTGTTGAAGTGATCTTCATTGTTCCTCATACAGTTAGTACTTTAGGATGAATGTGCTTACAATTGAAGCACTGTCTAGAAGTTAATAAAAATGGACTGTGATTTTTGTGTATGTATTAATTGATTGTTTTTTTCTGGTGTCTGTTTACCTTAATTTCTTGAGGTAGCATTCAAAAGAAAAAAGTTTTAAAGCAACTGCATTAAAGGTTCTTTTGGACTTGTCAACACATTGCTACACATGGGAAGATTCAACATGAGAATCTGGCACAGGGTCAATGAAGCATTTACAGCACATCTCTACCTTTCAAGATCTGAGACACATATGGAGCCATATGGTTTTTTTAAAAAAAAACTTTATAACACAAACTGCTCATTTTCGAAACATATCCTAACAAAAAAATAGACCTACAAGTCATCTGTATAATAGGATAGGAGTCTTTTTAAAGAGATGCTTACATGCAGAACCAAGACATATCAGATTGTATGTGAGACGGACTTTGAATGAGTCTTCACCTCATCAAGTGCAGCATATGGTTGATTTACAGTACAAAATAGCAGGGCTCATTTAGTGAAGTATAACTTTCCAGAGTTTCCACCAACTCTGTTTCTCGTGTGCTTTTCCTTGATGGCATGGCCCATGAGAAAAAAAGTGGGGTTTCTTAGTCTAAGGAGAGTAGTCTTCAGATATGTTTGGGCATGCATCATTTTCATCTGTACAGTAAATAAAAATGTAACAATGTAAGGTAGTCATTGGTGCAACTCCACAAGTGAAGCTAACAAGCCTCCAGAAAGGCTTGTTTGGGAGGCAATGACATCTCTGGAGACATAAGAACAGGCTAGATACAGGCATGGTTCAGGAAAGATTGATCCTGCTGTGGGGTAGAGGGTTAGCCAGGATAGTTTATTTCCTATTTTGTAAAACTTTTTGTCTCATGGTTCCACAAACTTGATCAGTTTTCTGTATGGCAAGATAAAATTATCTGGGTTACTTCTGCTGTATCCTGATTTACTTCATGCCACCAGCCTGGAACAGGCTACAAACACACAAAAAATTGAGATGAAACTTGACAAATTTGTTTGCTAATCGACTGCTCATCTGGTGTCTTACTTCTACAAAACAGTGCTTCAGGTGCAATTTAAAGTACACCTCCATCTTTTTTCTCCCCACTTCAACTATTAGTTCCACACAACTACTGCTGCTCTCATATCTGTAATGAAAGCATCAACGTGGCAAGAACCAGCCAAATGCTTATGTCTCCTATCCCAAAGTTTTCTAGGAAAGAAAACTCTTGTCTGCCTTCAACTTCAGGACAAAGCACACAGGAGATTTAAATGGGATAGAGATCTTTTGAGAGTATTCTTCAGATTTTCATCCATTTTAAAGAAATGGTGCAAATGATAGAAAAAGTGTGCCGAGGTGTGCCTGAGCATGCCTTACCCCAATGTTTTTAACTCAGAGCTCTGAAGATATGATATGCAAGTGCTGAGCAAGGTTCCAGAAACTGCTGGCAACACGCTGTAGTGTATTTATTTCCTTTGCATGGGCTTATTACCAATTTTGCACATAACTTGTGACCTACTGTTTCCCTTCATGGCAAGCAACCAAAGGGTATGCAGGTCCTTAATAAGAAACAATCCATTCTGCAAACGGACCTCAGAGCAGCTTTTACAGGCAGCAGGATTTCAAGTGTTAATGCTGTGAAGATGCCCAGGAAACATGCCCTGCTACATATTTTTGGGTGTTAAGTTCTTTAAAAAAAAACAAAAAGAAGAGACATTTTGGCTGTCATCGAGTATGAGCCATAATAAGGTTGTTTCTGCCATTTGTTGCTAGACAGAACCCTAAAGCTATTCAGTGAGATTATCTGAATAACTTCGTCTATAAAAAGCAGCTGTTCACCAGATGTTCTGCAACCCATACAGGAAACTTACAGGTAGTTCTATCCGTTTCTTTTTAAACCAAAAAAAAGTCAGAGTACTGATAGGTTTGAAATCTGACTTTAACTATCCTCTTAATATTGCCTTCTGTAGAAAAATAGAAAAAAATAACATTTACAGCATAGTATCCATAAGCAGTCACATAAAAACATGTATACATGCTAATTACTTCCAATATCCTATGAACATGCTTTTCATAATGTGCTAGCTACTGCGAATATGAAACTGATTAATCTATGAAAACTCTCCTGTGATTCCAGAGATATCTGCCTACAACATTAGGACTCATTCTGCAACTGTCAACAAGGGAAGACCAGCCAATGTCACCTACCTAGACTTCTGTAAGGCCTTCGACAGTGTCGAAGAAGGGAAGGCTTCAGGGAGACCTCATTACAGCCTTCCAGTACCTAAAGAGTGGCTTATAAAAAAGAGGTAGAGTGACTTTTTACACAAGCAGATAGTGACAGAAAAAGGGAGAATATTTTTAAACTGAAGAAATTTTTCACTGAAAAAGGTTGCCCAGAGAAGTTGTGGATGCCCCATTCCTGGAAGTGTTCAAGGCCAGGCTGGATGGAGCTAGTGGAAGGTGTCCATGCCCATGGCACAGAGTTGGAACTAGATGATCTTTAAGGCCCCTTCCAACCCAAGCCTTTCTATGTTTCTATAATTCTATGAGTCTCTTAATTCTGTAAAAAAATCCACCTTTGATGTGTACATTTTTTCCCATGCAATACAACATATTTTATGGCCAAATCCTGACAGAAAAAAATATTGAAGACGTGCAAGTTGCCTGAACAATGTTATATGGACTTGTTTAAAGTCAATTAATGATTTATCAGTAATCACTTAGAAGTTCAGAGCAATGATGCATCATATAAAATTAAGAAGTGTTTTGTAGAAGACAAAAGTGTGACAGAAGTGGTAAGAGAGACAATTTTTCAGAAACAGAAGCTATTCACCAGACTAAGCCAAGAATACCTAACCTTGACAATTTATAAGGTATGTGTATCATGGTGTGTTAGGAAAACATATTTGTTTACTGCAATTCAATTTTCCCCCTTATTTTAATTTATCTTGCTTAAGATTATTGTTGTAAGTCTGAAATTTCAAAGTCCTTGTGTAATAAAATGAAAGATCTATAGCATCTAAAAAAAGGCATAAAAAATTGAGCAGTTGCTAGAAAATCAAATTGAGAAATCTTGAGAGGATAATTAAGTCAACTGGACAGAGATATCATCTGTCAATGAATGAAGTTGTCAGTGGGCTGAAGAAGATGGTCTAAAGAATGGTGATGAACTCAGATTGTCTATGGACACATTGGGGACCTTCCTGCAAGAATATCTAGAAACCATTCAGAGAAAGATATTATGCTTGTGGTGGGATGATGAATGACAAGGTATCCCAATTCAGTAAATCTTACGACAGGTTTCTATTGTATCTTTGTTTTAGAAGTCAGGGTCAGAGGGGCTTACACCAGCAAAATCAGCCTGGCCGAAGTTTCTTGTTCAGAAATTTGCAAGGCAACCATGAAAACTACATACCTGATGAAACACATCTTTGCCACCAAGAATCCTGCAGGGATTACCCTAAGGGGATATACACATTGCAATAGGAAATCTTGGTGTAGGAATTCAAGAAATGTTCGGAAAAGCTTTGGTCTATGCAGACTTTAAGAAGCTTTTGCTTCAAGGAATCCTTGTCTACCCACCTGGAACAACCTGGCATAGGTTGAATGGGGGGACTACAGAGCCTGTTTCTCCATACACCACATATGTAGCTCGCAATCCTTGAGCACCATAGTCAGACAGTGTGTGTGTGCATGTATGATCAATTTTTCCTAGATCTCTCCAAGACACAGGCTCTGGATAAAAGAGAAAGTGTCATATTGTGGAAAGGTATTTGCCAAACATGTTTGATGATATAAGGCCCTCATTTCTACCTTGTCATGAGAATAAATTATAGCAAGGCCCCTTTGCATGCAAGAAAGCATACAAAGAATGAAACAGAAGTATGGAAAGGCCAAAATCTGGCTCCAGGTGGGGGCCTTGTAGAAGAGTTGGAGGACAGTACATTGTATAGCTATGCAAAAACATGGGTTTATGGTTTTCCTCAGTTCATCTTAAAAATGGAGCAGACTAACCTTTATCATAGTAATAGGCATAGTGTAAAACATAAGGCAGATGAATGTCTGAAAGGCCAGATTCGGTCATGGTAGAACTGGGGAAGAATTCTGGCAGTAAAAATCCTATAATATTTATGTCACTGGAATGATACTGCATTAACAATGGGATGATAATACCGTGTATCAGGGGTTAATTACGCTGATACTTTTGGTCTGTGTTTGGCCCAGCCACCTGTAAAAGTTTTGCTCTTTCTCTGACAAGTTACGAGAAAACAAGCACTGATAAACGGGTACTTTGTCCTTGGAGAGAGAGCTTCTTGTATAAATTGTTTTAATTGGTGTTCTGTGGTTGGCTAATCATCCTCCAAGGTCTCTTGAAGGAGCGACTGAAGAGGAGAGGATGAAGTAACGCCCCCAGACTCAATTAGGAGAGACTCCTGAAGCATACTGCGCATGTGGCCAAAGCACTCACGTCACGCCTGCGCTGAAGTGATGCACTTACATAACCAAGGGGGTGGGACTGACCACCTCTGGTGGGGTGGTGCTGACCACACCTGCCTAGACAGAGGTCACTCAGTTAATTGTATAAAAGCAGTTAGCTCTTTCTTGGAGGTAAGCTAGCTTCACATCAAGGACAATGTTGTCTTTTGGCGGGGACGCCTGTCAATTTGTGAGTTTACTGACTTTCCAAGGATGCAGCCTCTGCTATGGGTAATTATAGGCATGCTAGGTCAGTAACATAACTTTATGGGCAACAGCTGGGTGCCTGGAGAGATCGTGCTAGGGGCTTATTTCTCTCCTCCTTCCTCTCTTTTGGGTTTGTTCATTTTGTTGGTCACTTCTTGGTAATAAATATCAGTTTTGTTGAGCTTCCAATGGTGTCGCAGTTTTCAAGTTTCAGTATGATCCGAACTCCTCCCTAATACACACTGATATGCGTGTGTGTGTACATTCGCGTCTACACACATGTACTTAAACACCTGCTCTAAACAAATGTCTGTTCTCTACTCAGAATGCTAGAGTTGTCTGATTAAAGTGGAACTGAAGAAAAGTATCAGGCATGTGGACTTGTCACAGAATTTATATGCATTGGAAAATAACATATCACAACCTACTTACTGCCAAAAAAGAAAATATTATAATTTAAAGTATGAATGAATTATAAAACATAAGCGGAAATCATGGACCTTATTCATGTAGAGCCCAGCACAAGAAAACAGGCACATGGCTACTTTTACATCCTAGGTTTAACACAGGCCAGTAGTCATGGAGTGAGGGTCTCCCCTTCTGTTGCTGAAGTCACATCCCATCCTCAAAACATCAATTAATTTTACATGATGCATTAATTTCCCTATGCAAAAGACAGGTAGCATTAAGCTGAATCATCTGTGGATATATTTGCCATACCCCAGTTACTCTGTCTTCTCCAATGGTTTGGCTCAAGTGCATCTTCTTCCAGACCTTTTGCCTGTGGTCAGTGTCAATATTATCAACACAAATAGTCCATGAGCTACTAACGTGGCAAAGCCAAGCTTGTGTGCTTGCCAACAGTCTCTGCCATCTAAAGAGTCAAATTAACACTAGACATTGGCAGAATAACTAAGATGACATGCTTTCTTCCTAAGGAGGCCACACTGAGATCATCCATCTGTTCTTTAAGGAAATTGCAAGGCCATCTTTCAGGGCAGATATACAAGTGATGGAAAGCTAAATCAACTTTTACATTAGTTTTCTGCTGTTGCTATCAAAATAGCAGAAGCAGAACATCATGATATAACTGTACATTTTGTAAAGTATATACAAGCTCTGAATTTTAGCATTCTTTTCTTTGATATTTTTGCTTCTTTGAGCGAGTTTTGATAAAAGCATTAGAAGGATGGGATAGAGTTTTCTGAAGATTATAAATCCCCAGTCAGAGATTATCATGACGCAACCATAATTAAAAAGGATTCTCAAAAAGTTCCCACACATGTACCTGTTCCAAGACTTCAGGCACTCAAGGTTCTCTATAGCCCTAGCATAAAACCAGAAGATAGTTGTAGGCTTGCATTTGAACAGTAACTAATAAAGTGACATTTTGTGAAGCCTCTACTTCCCACTACAGTGGTTGCTGCTGAAGAGATGCCGGATATTTTTCTCTCCAGCTGGGTTTTGAGGGGCAGGCAATTTTTTCTGTGTCGCTACTACAAAAATGGGTGCACTGTATTGCAGGGAAGGTTGCAGATGTGAAAATTTAGGTAAGTCTAGCTTATGTGCATGGTGTAGGGCAGAGATCAGCAGTTGGGCTTTCTCTTAGCAATTGGGTGAAAGAAACATCCAGATTTTGAGTCTGATCAAACTTGTCAAAGAAGCAGATGAGGCAGTAGTTATACCTTCAGGACCCTTCAGACATCCTCATGAGCACAATAATGTCTCCCCCACAGTTTGTAATGAGGTAAACACCACCCATGTGTACATACCTCTACTGGGGGAGATTATCGGGGCCAAGCTTTAATGCAAGGAGCAAATATGCCCAAAATGTCATTATATCACATATAACTGACAGCAAAAGTGTAATTAAATACTTGTGCTACTTGATAAGTTTTGGTGGTAACTGAAGCAACCTGACAGAGGAATTATCTTACTAAAAGAGAAACCAGTTAAAATATTTAAACTTCCAAATTCTCATCTTATATGCAGAAATAGACTGTCTTTTATGTGTAGTTTAGTAGGAGGCTGAGGTGACAGCTTCCAGGCTGCACAAAAACGAATTGTACCAACAGAAATTTTCCACACTTAAACCTGTTAGGACACTAAATGTTGAAGAAAACATACACAGCGGACAACTGTGGTTCAGAAACACATGGTCCACGTGGTCCTTGGGGGTTCAGTTCCCTAATACTTGAGAAATGAGGTTTACAAGTGGTATGTGTGAACAACTTCAAGTTGGCATATCTATGCAAACATGAAAGAGAAGTGAAAAATTTCCCAGGAAACACCTGGGAATTAGAGACCTGTGTAATGCTCCCTTCGTTATGACAGAATAGAAAGAAAACCTGCGAATTGTTTTAAAACCAGAAAAGAGTGCATGTGAATTTATTTTAAACATATTTCATACCATGTTTATGTTCACCTTGCTATCTGCTCATAACAGTCCTTCTTTCTACATATGGGGTCTTGCGTGCCTTCAGATCAGCATGATTCCCCTCTCCAATAGCCAGCTCCTCTCTGGAAAGAGGGACTCCTTTTGTTTTTGTCAGTTCTTGGGCTGCTGCCCTTCTAGACAAAACCAGTCCAATAGCCTCAGCAGGAAATCACGCCAGTGCTGCTGGAGCCAGTTGGTCTCCTATTATTCTATTCCTGTGGAATGGCTTATCTTGAGTCACTGTTTCCTTACAGCCTCTTTTCAGACTTAATCAATGTACTCATACAGTGACTACCCTATAATAAGGTCAGCATTGTTTTTATGCATTATTATGTCCCACTCAAAATCCATCACAATAGTTAACTTCAGAGATTTCTGTCATTGTAGAGATGGGCCTTAAGCCCATAGCTTCTTGGCTGAACTAAAAAAATATCTATTAGAAAGATACCCAAAGCTTAAATAATTTTTGGAAAATATGATCAAATACTCCATAAAAACAAATGTGTAATGAGGCAAAGAAATACAACCAGAAGAAGATGAAAGACTGGGCAATCTTTTTTGTTCAGGAGATGGGAATGTGATGTTTGAGATAATAAATAATATTAGAAAACAATTTCAACAACAAAGTAATAAAAAGAATCAGGAAGAACACCCTGGAGATCATCTTAGTTGAATCTGGTTTCAACATCAGTTCTTGAATCCACTAATGTTACTCACTCTTGTCCTAGAGCTGCCCCCTCCAAATAAGATGCAGTTCTTTGTAACCCCATTAATCGCCCACATCCCCCCCTCTGCTGATTAAGTGGCTTAAAGAAGTTTATTTAGTCTCTCTAGCTTTCAAGATGAAAGACTTTTTCCTCAAATACTGAAGGTTCGAAGATACAGAAGGTTCAAGATACAGAAGGTTCCATATACTAGACTGGAATATCCTTGGCCAAGGACACCCTCAGAGTACAATCATCAATGCGCAGTGCACTGGGAAGTGCTAAATTGAGAAGGGACAGGGTGACACCGCTTATAGTGACAGCTCTTTAATTTAGATCACAGGGTGTTGCACCATTTTTGTAATACTGGCCTCCAAGATAACAAAGAGAAAAAGAGGGGGAGGAAGGCAAAAGACAGCAACCTTCTGCTTGGATTGTCAGCTTCATCCAGAGCAAATGAATGAAGGAGAATCCACCCTCAGCCATGGCTAAACGTACCAAGTGGCAGAGTTGGTTAGTATTTCAGTAAAATTAAGGGCATATTCATGCAATAGCCAAAGATCTCAAAGGCTGGCACAGACTGGAAATATTCTTTATTTTGCATGGACATTTCTCCAGTCTTGAGCCCTCTGGAGGATCTAGCTCCTGAGATGTAAAGCTGGTGGGGTTTTTTTTTGCCATTGCAGCACTAAGGTGCCCTCAATGTGCTCTGGCAGCCATGGAAACACAGTGAGAACAAGCATCCTCCTCTCTGAAATGTTCCTTGTGTCATATGAAGGAGGTGAATAACACCTCTGAGAGCCATGAGCTGAAAAGTCCAATCTTAAACTTAATGGATGAGAGGAGGAATCAGAAGTCAATAGGTTGTTATCAACTTGGTAATAATGTTTTGAGCAGTCAATGTGGTCAAAGGTAGGTGAGACAGTATAAGGGTTCCCAGTCTGATGGTCAGAGGTGATGATTTTTTGTTTGGTTGATTTTAAGCAAGCATGCAGAGGAAATGAAAGGTACAAAACCAATCAGCTTATGAGCCAATTTGTCAAATGCTGCCCCAACCTGGATGCAGACCAACCTGCCTAGCTTGCCTAGAAGCCAAGGAATCCACTTTCTCTCAAGCATTTCAAACTGCAGAAGTGTTCACTTGAAAAATTCAGAAAGGAAAATAGAGTAGTGTCAAGAGAGAGTTTGCAGTCCGGCAAGAAACCGGAGTATCTTCTATGCTCCTCTCTCCCTGGAGAGGTGCCCATGTGAACTGGCTGGTGTCCCCTGCACGCATCCCATCTGCTGTACCAATGTCCCCACGAGAAGAAGATGCTTATCTTCCACTTCATGGCAAGATTTGTCAATTAACTCTGCCGGCAGCCAAAAGCCAGGAAAGAGTGAAAGAGGGGAGGAAGGAAGGGAGCAATAGAAAAAAAGGAGGTGACAGGAGAAGGGGCAGGAGCAGAGAGCCCAGGTTTGCTTAGGCAATGTGTGATTGGGCTTGGAAGCAAGCGGTGGTCTGGAAGAACACTGACTGTGACAAGTATAAAACCATTTTGGTTTAAATGTGAAATATTCAAAGTTAATCTCTAAGATTTGCATCAGGTATAGAACTCCAATATGAGTCATCTTCTCTGGAGGTCCCTGGGCAGAGGAACGAGATCAGGTGCTTTTCCTAGTGCATATGGATTTCTGCATGGGCAAACCTGGACCGTAAGCAACAGGTTGGGTCCAAGAAGGAGCTCTCTCATTCAGTGCACAGAAGCAAAAGTTTTATCTTGGTGATAAGATCTGCAGTGGCATTCTTCAGTTGAAGGCAAGAGCATCAAGCTTTCATTGGGTGCACCACCAAAGTGCATCTCTGACTTGTACAGGACTGGTACACAGAAATAGAAACTTGCTTTTGTCATGATTCTAACCATGCCTTCTTCTTCAGCAAGGACGGACCATTAAAGACAATTCTACTGTTCTGCGAGGACAGACTGATACTCCATGCATCTTTTAAGCTATTATTTCTAAACTTCACCTTCTCCCCAAGTCAGTAGGGTCACAAAACGTATGAATCTAACTGGTAGGCTTGCAAATTGACTGGACTGAAGACTGGGTGGTTACTGCATTTATGACAGACAGTATGTATGCGGAGCCATATTGAGAAAAATGCACTGTAATTACTGACATTTTTACAATTTAAATTTTTCTCAATAAATCTCATAGTGGATAAGTATAGGAATTTGTTGAAGAACCTTACCATGTTCATTATTTACAACTGCAATTTTTTTGGATATTCACTGTAACGGAATCCCTGTTTGCCTCTATAACTCTCTAACACTTTCTAATTTTTGTTTCTAACATTTAATGACAAGTAAAAATATATGAAATCACTCTGATCATAGCCAGCTTATATATGCAGGGAGAACACTCCATATAAGATTATTTTTGGTATTTAAGTCTGAAAAATGTGGAAGAGGAAATGAAGTGAAATGGAAAATTTAGAGAGAAAACTGTGAATGAAAACTTAGAGTTCTGTGAGAGCTGTTGATTAGATAATTGGTTTTCCTGATTTTCCAAAGAGGAAAGAAGATAACTTTGGCTAAAAACTCATAATTGTTTTAATGGTAAGGTGAAATCTGTAAGGTGACAAATGTCAAATGAAAAATAAGATGATGGTAGAAACAGAAGTGATGACTAGCAAAGCTATAAATGTTGAGAAGAAATTTGAAAATACTAGTCATTAATTTTTGCAATAGGGTAGCTCATGAGCAGTACAACTCTTAATGTAGGAATGCTGATGGAGAAAAGACAGAGGTATGGCATTAATATTTCTGTTCTGTATTTGAAAAGCAGAACAAGACACTCATAAGAAAAAAGAAAGGTTGTAACCACTCTGCTAAGCAGTATTCAGTAAGAGAGAAACTAGGAAAAAATCATCAGACTTGAGATTCTTGAATGCAAAAGTTCTGAAAATTTTTGCTGTGGGATCTTTAGTCCAGGGGAATGAACTTCTAATAATACTTTGAATACCATCAGGATTCAAGAATTCAGACTGTACAGGAGTCAGGGAGGGCAAGGGGGATAACCCAGTGGACTACAGCAGGCTCCTGTTAAACCCCCACAAACTAAATGGAAAAATTAATATGATATTGGCCCAACTGGAGGTATTCAAGAAGAGTGAGATAACATGCACTGTAGGAATCAAGTTCATTTGTAGGAAATAAGTTCATTTAAACAAACTACAGATGAGAAAACGAGATTGGATTATAAAAGTAACTAAGCAGATATAATCTATATTAGGCATTCTGAAAGGGATTTAACTCTTTAAAATGCATTTAATTTCATATTAACACAAATGGAAGCATCAATACCCACTGTGGTCCCTTTCAACTCTACCCATTCTGTGATTTTGTAAATAGATCAGTTCCAATGCGTTAAGAACTGGTTTTCTGATGTGCCATATTCCAACAGACTAAACTATCAATGAAGCAGCAGTTGCCATGTTAGTGGCAACGCGAACACGTGACAGCAAAGCATTAATATAATGGAGCTGTATTTGTGACCAGTGGTACCTGGATGCACTGTCTACCCACTTGGAACATGGACCCTGTGACATTCCCTACTACATCAGGTAAAGGTGCTGTGGTAAACTCACAAATGAATTGAACCACCCCACTGCCCCACATCCTGTACTGTTTTCCTTGGTTCTACTGAATAATGCAGGTACAATGCAGGCACAATGCAGGCAGCTGTATTTACTTGATTTTCTGCTATCATGCAAAGCAAACGCAGTATCAAATTTCTTACCTCCTCAAGACAAGAACTCTCTCTGCCTTACTTACCTGAACAGTGCCAAGCCCCACGGTTGATGCCTGTTTACAAAGGTGTTTTTATGCATGCAGGTCATCTGCTGGCACGTGTTAAAGGCTGGGTCGGTGAAAAGAACAATATTCATTTATGCTAAGTGATGATTACCTGTTCTGAGCTGGGCTTTTCATGTTCTAAAGGCACTAGTTAAGCCCTTTGTTCAGACCCACATTCCCTGCTTTCCTTAGACTTTTGGGAGCTACTCACATATAAGCACAGCAAAATTTGGTCTCCTGCTTGTCCCTGGCCAAGATATGATCTGCAATAGACAGAGAGGGTACCACTCACTTAATGATAGATGCCTTTCAGCTTCATAAAACCTTACCTAAGTGCTCTAGCATGTCTCTACTGGGTGCTGCTCCAGGTGGCCTGGATGCCTTGAAATGTCCTACTACTTGTGTGAGGGGTTGTATCAGCTTTGCATTTCAGAAGCCTCTTTTTTGAGAAGCTAATAAAATGTGCAGTATATTGTGATGTGAAATTTCCCGTGGTCCCTGGGGAAGTTTTCAGGACCATCTTCTAGAATTACTGGGTTTGCTGGGTTTGGTGGTTTGGTAGGGATGGGTTTGGGTTTTTTGTTTGTTTGTTTGTTTCTTTTTCATTTCAGCTACACTGTATCAACATCTGGGCACTTATGCTCAAACAGGCATTGGCATACTGTATTGAGATGCAACTGGTCTATAAATAAATACTTGTTTACACATGCAATGAAATCATCACAGTTGCAACTACTCCACCCGGTCAGCAGTAATCAGTCCATTATAATGTAAAAGACACACATCTTAAATGGCAGTGATATTTTGTAGCCTCATACACCAACTTTAAAATTTCAGAGGTGACAGATAGAGAACACTATCAGGATTTAAAAGAAAAAAAGTCTCCAAAGGCTCACAGTCTACTTCAACTCCAATTACCCTCTGGGCATAACTATATTCATAAGGTTTATCACAGCCAGAAACTTCAGCCAACAGTTCTTTTCAAAGCTGTGCATAATGCAATTTCTGCCAAGTATCAGTAAAGACTTTGAAAATACATGCCACAAGGCAGTTATTCTGCAACCACAGTCCTCTCAGTTAAGAGCCCTGAATTGGTTGTTTGCAATACTTAAAATGTTGACAGGGCTGCTCTTAAGGACCATATATTTTTTAAGAAGTCATTTGCTATCATGTGCTACAAAGTCAAAGCATCTCAGAAAAGTATCTATAGTTGAAAATTCACTTAAGAATAACACAGGGTTTACTGACAGCCAGAAATTTTCTGACATCAGTGCACTCAAGATTGCATTCACATTTTATAATGGGAACAAGGAAAGATTGCCTCTTTTCCTTGTAGCAAAGTGCTGTTTTATACTGTAGTCATATCGAGTGGAAGCATCCGTTGGTCTGAGTCAACACTGAACTCTCGATAAGTAACCCCGACTAAATAACATAGAAATAATTCTCTATGTAATGGTACTACAGTCTATTCTGA